GGTAAAGGACATTTATCCATCTTATAATCATCTGTAGAACAAAATATAGTATTTCATTAGATGTTTAGAATTGTCAGATTTCCCATACTGCAAAATTTTCATTTTATAGGCTTCATCTATCCTCCAAAATAAGTTTTTTCGCATGTTTCTATTACCCTTTTTAAAAAAAAATGAGTTAATTTTGAACAATTCCACATTTCTTCTTTTTTAATAGATTTTTTTTATTATATTCTAATATTTCTGATCTTCTGGAATTAATTTTGCTAAAATTGCAAAAGGAAATTCACCGTAAATATTTATTTCTACTCCAGCTGTTTTAAGACTTTTGAGTAGAAATCTGAGTAGTATTTGTGTAATGTAATTGTCTCAGTTACTTTAAGTACGAACATAATTTCATGGGAGTTAAGCCTAACAGTTTGTTTACATGTGCGTGTACAATTCAGTTTTACGCAATTGTTCTTTTAATAGTTCAATGGATACATCATAACTGCTTTGCTTTAATATCAATTCTTGTATACAGTTTAATACAGAATCCTTTAAGAACAATTTTAAATAGTTCAATTTATCAGTTTTTGATAATTGTTTATTTTTACCTACAGCTTCTAACTATCCCCAAAATCCTTGCCAGTTTTTATATTTACTGTCGAAAGGTTCTTTTTTAAATTTTAGCAGTTTGGCATTAGGATAATTAGTAATTATTCCTTTTTCAGAAATTCAAGAGGATTTACTTGTGTGCATTAATTTTACTTTCATTTTCATGTTTAAAGTACCTTTCTTATTTTGGTTTGGTTTGGAACTTGTAATCTTTTCATGTTATTCCTGGCTTGTCAGATCATCAGCTTCAAGCAGTTCTAATTCACTTATAATGCTTTCTATGGTAGAATAAGATTTCTCTTTTAAGTGATGTTTTAAATCATCCAAACCTTCAAAATCAGTGTTGTCTCGTGTTAATTTGTCATTTATTTTGTTCACAGTTTTAGTTAAAAAAGTTCGAATAGTTTTTCTTTTACTCTGTAACTTCTCTAATTCACTAGGTTTTACCATCTGTTTTGTTGATCTGATGAGCTTCAGGGACAGTAATTGAACCTATTTTAGGTATTAATCCTTTATTTTCACTACATAGTCAAGGAAAATTTTACACTTTTAACTATACATAACACATCTTAACTACATTCTAAACATTAATATAATTTTAAAACAGTTATGGCATATCAGTGCCATCTATTGTCTAGAGTTCATGACAGTGTGTTCTAGTCTAATACTAATCCACAGAATGCATGAATAAATAAGCAATAACTTCAGTTTATGAAGCTTGTGTTCAAATACAACAATAAAACACTCTTTTAAAGACAAGCAATGGGTGATCCTTCGAGATGTTCCTTTCTCACTGATAAAAACATTAATCCAACATTTTGTGCGCATAATGACATCTATACATAAAAATTTTCTGCAGACTATATAAGAATGTTAAATATGTTGTGAAATACATAAAGCAACTCATAAGTAAATTTATGAGCTTTATTACTTAAAAAATATTTTTTTTCCTCATAATAGAAACTGTGTTTTTCCACTTGATAGCTATGACAACAGTATATATAAGAGTCATTTATCAAAGAGAGTTCCACATCAACTGAGCGGTATAGTCGCTGAACACTTGTAGTTCAAACCAGAGTTTGAATCCCGGTGAATAGGCTGTTTGCATGGGCAATTTCGTAGTTTTCCTCATGTATATGCATGTGAATATGTACATTCTCTCTCTCTATATATATATGAATCAGTTTCCCTAAGGAAGTCTTCCACTAAGGTATCCCTCCGCTTGGACAGTTAGTCCTCGAGTGCTTTGCCATAATCAAATAAACTAAACAAAACCTTTTGGTGTAAGAGAAGCTTTTTGATGCCCATTTGACAAAATGTGGTGCCCTAGACATTATTCTTGAATCATATTTTTTTGCTGCTTTAGATCTCTGTCTCCAAACTGAGTTCACAGTTATTGCATCTCATTAAATTTGTGCTATATTATGATGCAAAGACCAGTTGTCTGTTCATTCCCCTGTATGACAAAATCTTAGGCACTAATATGTTTCCTAAAATTTATTCTGTTGTCTTTCTATCAGTTTTGCTCATAAAGTTTAATTCTTGAGCAAATATGGGTCCACCAGCGGCCGAGCAGTAAAGACGCTGAGCATTGGTAGTTCGGTCCAAGGTTTGAATCCTGCGAACGGGCTGGCTGCATGGGCGTTTTCATGGGTTTTCTCATGTGTAACGTGTATACGAGCCAGTTTCCCTTAGAAAGTACCTCCACGAAGGCATCCCTCTCATTAGGCAGATAGCCCTCGTGTGCTTTGCCATAATTGAATAATCCAATGCAATCCAATTCTTGAGCAAATATAGGTTAAACTATCACTATAGTCTTCAGAAATTTTTAAAAGGTAGTATATGAGACTAACTTTTTATCATGCTTTCATTTGATGTCATTGACTAAAAACTAAACATTTTCATAACTTTCGTAAATGACTCTGAAATTTTAGTAATTCTGTGACAATGTCACCTTGCTGCATACTTTTTCTTTTTGCATTTCTACAAAGGGAGAGAAATACCTATTGAAATTATTAAGGTTTCTTTTCTGAATTTGTTAAGAAATATCTGAAATTTATATTTGCAAGTAAATAAATGAAAAGGTTGTGATGAATTAAGTATATGTGTATATTATATGAAATAATAAAATTTTGGAATTTATATCTGCAAGATTTGTTTTTGCTCTTCATTAGAATTTTAATTTTTGCATGCTATAATATTTGCATTTTAGTTTCATATTTAGTATTACTTAGTGGAGTAATACATAATAAAAGACTAAATAACATTCATTATTGTTATTCAAATTTGAAATTGTTATGAATGTTTTGAATATACATTGGCAGAAAATATTAAAGGAATAATCATAGAAATGTCTGAATGGATACTTCAGATTTTAATTTCAAGGCTTGTGTGAGTAGCTGGGTAAAATTTTTACTTGTAGGTGGAACATTTCATCGAGAAGGCATTTCACAAATTATGAGAAATGGCATGGTTTTCAGAGAATCGAAGCTAGACAGACACTGACATAGGACTGTAAAGTCTAAAATTAGCCAAAAGTATCATTGAAATATATGGGAAGGATATAAAGACATGTGATGTATGCAAACAACCAGATCAAGGTCAAAAATGTGTAGCAGCAGACTCTCAGGATTCTTATTTGATTTACAACTGATGAAAGAAATAGACAACTTATATGAGCCCAAATTGCAAGGAAGTGTCCAAATGTACCATGAGTGGCAGGTTGCATAAAAGAAGACTGTGTACAAGGAATCCCACATTTTTTGTCCCACTAATTTGGTCTGTGAAATTCATGCAGCTGCAGTGGATCATCATGATTGGAGCACCACAAGTCAGAGACAAGTTTTCTTTATTTTAGTCAAATTTCCTTTTTTTTTTTTTTTTTTTTTTAATTTTTTTTTTTTTTTTTTTTTTTTTTTTTTTTTTGTTTTTTTGAGCAGTGTTCTAGCAGTGTTATAATTTGTTGGGAGCAACACATACAGTTAGCCAGAAAATATCCAAAAAAGTAACGGTACAACAGTAGTGGAATTCATGATATGGGCAGACATAATTTTGAATGGATCAGTGACTTACACATTTTTTTACCTGTGCAGGATGCTGGAACATACAAAAATGAGGCTTTTGATCATTATGACAAAATGTTTAGAGTTGTAATCGATAATGACTCTCTCCTTATGAACAATAATGCTTGTTCCCGTTATGCTACGCTAGTGACGGATAATCTTATGGGTGAAGGAATTGAGCAAATAGAGTGGTCATGTATTTTCCAAGTTTAAATCCGATAGAACGTGTGAGACACACTAGGATGCCGATTTTTCTAATTACAGCCTGTGTCTATCACTCTCCAGGAACTTCAAGGTGTTAATCATAGTTACTATATTCTGCTATTCAGGAACTCCAGGACAGTCTAGTACAGGGGTTCTCAATCGGAAGGGAAGGGGAATTACTGCCTGGGATTGAATTTCATAGTTTCAAGAGGGAATGCAGTTGGCCTCTTATTTATCTGTTAAGTATTTAGTTTTAGTTTATTAACATAAAAAACAATTTTTATTCAAGTTTTGGTGTTTATCAACACTTTCTATATTTTTCTTGTTAAATTTATAAAAAAAAAAATAAAAAGTAATCTAAATTTAAATAAATTTACATGTATTTTCCGAGTTAGAAAGGAATGGGTGATGATTGTCTAGCAGTGGTGAAAGGGGTGCATAGGGCATAAGTTTGAGAAACACTGGTCTAATGCAAAGCAGAGAAAATTACTATAAAGTTTGCTTTTCAGTCAGTTATAACCTCACAGCTTATTAATTTTTTTTTGCATATCTCTAGTGAAAAGGTAGTAGCACCGTCTTTTTCCAACCTCATTTTATATTAAATTTGTTATATTCGTATTTAAACTTGTTTTGCAGAAACAATTCTGCATTTTGAAGATATGCCAGGTATGAAAAGAAAAGATGTAGGCGAGTTTCTATTTTTTAGAAGCATAATTCTTTCAAGTTATACGAGTTATTTATAGTTGTTACATAAATGATTTTTGAAAGAGGAGCTAGTTGGAAAAGTAATAAAGCAATGGATGTTAGCACATACAATAATACACATTAATGGAATAATTTTTTAAATTCTTCAAATGAATGCAATATTTTTTTTGTTTTTTTACTTCTGGCATTTTTTAATAAATTTGAAATTTATTTATATATTTATAATTTGAATTTAGTGGTTTTTCACTCTAAATGAATAGACAGCAAAATACTATAGGTTTTAAATTTCAAAGGTTAAGATGAATACAATTAAAAAATGCACTGTTAATCTTTAAGCCCTGTTATGAATAAAGTATGGATTATAATGACATGTGTGGTATTAATTTTTGTTGCAGTTATAGTATTTTATTATTATTTTTATTTTTTATTATTTAGCATCAAGTGAATCGTTTAGAGCAAGAGAGAGAAATGCTGAGTAACCAAATTGCTGATTTGAATGTTGAATTAACTGAAAAGAATCATGAAATACATACTTTGAAAAGAGAAAAATCTAATAACATTTTAGATCTTAAAGCTCGTCTAGAAGATCGTGCGGATGAAGTATGTGTGCCATAAATACTCTTTATTGTGCCATCTTATGTATGACATAAATATTCTTTGTAAGCCAATGCGTATTTTATTCTTAAATATAGAATGTAAAACTCTTATGTACTTTGGTATATTTTGCAGAATTCTTTGTAAAAATCAATTTTTATAAAAATCAAAGTTTCAGAAAATGAGAAATCACGTTTTTTATTTTCTTTGCCTTATATTATCTGATTTTTGAGAATTTATATTTGAATATAATAAAACAGGGTTCGTAGCGGTCCTTATAAGTGCTTATAAGTCCTTATATTTGAAAATAAAATATAAAGGCCCTTATAGGTGCTTACATTTTCTTTAAAGCCCTTATTTTTTTGTTTTAGTACTTATTTTTTGCTTTTAGTGCTTTTTTTTTTAAATGAACGCGCAATTTTTCCCCGTACCAAAGCCGAAACTAAATAAACAACTTTTCTTCCTAATATGGAATGTCAGATGGTGAATCATACTCCCGGAAATAGCTTTTCCCCCTTTCTCTGCATTAACATAACCTTTGGTGTGCGCGGAGAGTACAGACAGGTGCTGTTGGTCAAAGAATTGTCAAAGCAGTAGAAAATTTCGCTACATTCGGCATTCTTTTCCTCCCTCCCAAATACTACACACATTTGAATTTCTATCAAGATCTTAATAATTTGTATTCTCCTTCCGCTTGGTCAGTTCATATTCATGTTTATTATGATCGTTATGCTTATATTATGAGTATATGTATGAATGTTTATAATAACATAGTTGCAGTAACTGCTGAAGAACTTCCAAAAATGGTTGTGTTTTAACACAGATTAGCTTTCTAAGGAATAATATTCGGAATGGCTTAAATAAAGGGAAAGTAATCGAATAGTCAAAATAATTTCATTTTTTGGCCAATACATTATACAGTACGAAGATTGGGAGGTTCTCCCCTTCTCCGCAAAATGTCGAATATTGAAACTGTTACAGTTCGCTGCAAAACAAGCAACAAACCTCTTTTTTTTTTTTTTTTTTTTTTTTTTGTCAGTCATTTTCCAATCTGGATTGAATAGGACTAAAAGTTTTGCGGTCTACCAACCCAAGTGAAGAATGATTGGTTCTATTCCAGAAATTTAAATCAGTCTGTTGAAAATTAGAATGAAAAACACCCCAGATTGGTAAGTATCTTTCTTTTCTTTTATTTAGTTCTTTATTCTCCCAATACCGGCAGCTGTTGAATCCGATTGCATAATATCATAATATCGTGTAAATTACGATGCACGTATTGCGCAATAACATTTGCGATATTTTGCAGAGATAATTAATTTTGATGTTTGGTCCGAGATTTGTTTATGAACAATTAAAAGAGTTTTACTGTGCTTGCAAAGCAAAACATTTTTCTGTTCCGTTGGTTTGTTTTTATATGATGCACATATCGAAATGTCAGAAGCATTTATTTAGCGGGAAAATCTAAAGAATGGCTACAGTCTACTCCTCCCGCCTCCCCGCTCCTCTTTTTCAAGTTATGCTGGACTGTCGAATATTCAGCCAATTTTTGGCAAGTATGTGGGTAGTTTCCGCTTTTACTGTTAAATGATGAGTTAAGCTTTTAAGCTATTAAAGAATGACTGCATGAAGCAATTTCCCGAAATGTTCCTCTTTTTTACTTAAATTACTTTGCTTGCAATATCTGTTAAAGGAAAAAATGATATACGCATTGAAAATTTAGAAAATGTTCAGAATTTAGATACAAGTTAAATTAGTTCAAATATCAATATGAGTGGGAAAAATAAGTTGTATTTATTACTAAGGTTCCAAGCGAATAGAATAAATATGCCTTATTATTATTTATTTCCTCTATTTTGAACTGAAATTTCATCATTAAATCTTGTAATATAGTTCTGCATAGTTTTTTTTTTCTCTCATTGTAAACTAGTTCTGTAAATTGAACTGTTATTTAAAATTTTAAAAAAAGTAATTATTTTCCATGGTTGAGCTAATGCTTATTCTCTCTTAATAAATACTGCATTTCTCATATTTTAAATTACGAGTCTAATTTTTAAGGTTATGCAGTTGTGTATAATGCAATTAGACAGGTGCTTATTTTTTTTCTTAAAATGTGCTTGAAAAGTGCTTATAGGTGCTTATTTTTTTAACTAAAATGTGGCTATGAACCCTGTTAAAAAATAGGATTTTAAGTTTTTTATGATATGAATGCTGATAATAATTATTATCTCTATGTAGGTCTTTAATAAACAGTATACTTTAAAATATTGGTCACAGAAAAATTATATTTTATTAATATTTCAAGGATATTTGGCTGAGCAAATGGCTATAATCACCTATATTCTGTAGCTAAAGGAAGCAGATAGCTTTAAAGAAGAAAATAAATATTCAGTCTAGAAATGTTTATATTAGTTAGCTGAATTTGCTCACTTCTAACTTGGCAGATTGCAATGAAATGTGTATTTGTTTGATATGCAGTTCATAGGAACCCTTTCTGAAATGATGCTTTATAAGCAAAAATATTATGTTTAGTGCTCTTAGAATTGAGAATAATTTATTCGTTATTCAGATAAGGCCAGGACCAGCCCTGGAGTTGATTTAGCTGTATTGCACTGCGGAATATAGGGAAGGCAAAATTTTTAGAATTTAGAGAAGCACCGAGCAACAAAATTAAGGATGACAAAATCTTTAGGAAACTAGTTTTATTGATTGATTTATAAGTTTTACTGCCAGCCAAAAGGCTGTGAAAAAGGCACCAAATGGCTAGCCCACCCTCAGAGCAGTTTCGGAGGTTCAACCTCCTTCCCCACTCGTCAGAGAGGACTGGCAAAATTTAAGAAAGACATTGGAACATAAAATTTAGGGGCGGCAAAATTTTTAGAAATACGGAAGCACTTGGAAGCAGAATTTAGAACCTGCAGAGACTGCACCAGGCCCAAAAAATGTTTAGTGCTTGTCCCTAGATAAGTCTTAAGAATATGTGGGAATTTATTTATTCAGGACTCGAATGAGCATAAGTGTAATAAATAACTAATATAATTTATGCATAACTTCGTTAGTGTGTAATAGAAGTTAGACTAAATTTTGCAGCACTACATGTCTTTAGTCACCAATGTCATGATACATCACCTGTACAGCAGACGCTGGGCAGCTTTATGATGATAGCCGTGATTTTATCTTAGACAAAAAGCAAAATTTTTTACTTAATGGAATTTGTGGAGAAGTGGTCATAAATAAAGATGATAAACCAAAAGGTTTTTCTTTGTGATGATAATGCTTGAATCATAAATCAACTAATGAATGGCTAAATCTGTAGTATGGTTCTCAATCCAGAACATAATGCTACTGATAATAAGGAAAGTAACAGAGAGAATGCTGATAATGAAAAAAATTAGTTTGAGAATTTAGTGGGAATTCTCAACATGGCAATTACAGGACTTGAACAGTGGAACTTTGTAATTAAACAAGAAATTATGTCTGTGTATAGAATTAGAGAGAAAGTTTTAGCACAAAAAACAAAGCAACTTACATTTAAAGAAATTTTTAATAATGCAAACAAATAAATATTGAGCTTTTTATGTAAATTTTGATTCCCATAAGGTCATAAATGCTTCATTATGTCATAAATCACTCTTTCATATTTTTAATTTTATAATTTCTACATGGCTTGTAACTAGATTTAAATTGATGATCAAATATACGAAAAAATCCGAAATCCAGAATTTTCAAAGTCCTACAAATTTCACATGATCAAGGTAAAACTATTTATAAAATATTTTTACTTTGATCAGGTGAAATGTTTTACTACTTAATGGCATTCAGAAGTACTCAGATGTAACTAGATTTTAGGACAGGAAAACCCAGAATTTTGTGTAAAGTTGATCGTTTGCAGTGTTTATTAAAAAGGTGAAAAATTAGGTAATTCAAAATTACATAATAATCATGTTTAGATTTTTTTATTGCATGTATTAATTTTTATTTGTAAGACATGCTGATGGTTATCAGTCTGTATTTTTTCAGTTTTAGTAATTTTGGCATATATTTTTTAAATAAAAGTATATTTTTCTTTTTATTTCTGCCAACATAGGCATCATTTTCTACATTATTACATATATATGCAGTAATGTAGAAAATGACACAGGTGGATATTGAAGCGTTCATAGAGGATCCATAATGAGCAAACTTGGCAGCTGAAACAGATTTAATAAGATGCAGTCATGTATATACAGTAAGAAGAATTTATAGGAGATTTAAAATAGTGTTTCTTTTACTTTAGTTAAATGTGGCTGTAAATAACTTGGCACACTAAAAAGTGCATGTTTAGAACATAACATTTACATTTTTGAGATCTTTGCTGTAAGGAGAGAAGCAGCAAGCAACAGTCTAACTATGCCAAGGAACAGGAGTTAAGTATGTAGTGTTCAAGACAAAAGTCTTAATTCAGAAAGGTCTAGTTGTAATTTCAGTATAATTTTGATTGGATAATTAATAACACACAAGTTACTAGTTACACAAGTCATTTTCATCACAACATTATATAAAAGTCATATGATATGGATAAAAAAAGTTCATTTTAATTAATTACTATTTTTAGAATAGGAAGGAAAAAATACCCAAATTAAAACGAAGATTACAACTGATCTCTTGTAAATTTAAGTTATAATTTTTATTTTCATATATTTTATTATACATATGTATGTATTTTTTTTAATAGATCCAACTGCTACAAAAAAGATTAGATTATTTGAAAGAGTTGGTAGAGGAAAAAGATGCAAGAATTGAAGCTTTAGCAGAAAAGATACGACAATTTAACCAGTCTCATAGCCAAGCTGAGGAGCAGTTTAATTTGGAACTGAATGCTCAAGCAAAATTAATTGATTTGCACAAGGTAAATAATAGGTTTTGGAAATGACTATGTGTTGAAACTTATCTGAACCATATGTACTTAATTTGCTTTGTTTCTTTGTTGTTAATTTGCAGCTGAATAATTTATAGGTTGAATGTGCATTCACATGTGAATTTACTTTTGTTTTCTGAGTTTACTTTCTGTATTAAATAGCTTCAGTATTTGATATAGTAGCAGTATATTAATTATTATTGCTGTGCAGAAGTTAAAATTTGTTCTTGTCCACAAAATTAAGTGAACAAATACATGTTTGAATTTTTAAAAATCTGAACTTAGTATGTAAAAAGCAAAGTATTTTGAGACTTTTTACTTTGATTTTCATCTTATAATACATTTTTATTTTAAACTTGTCATATTTGCTTTGAATTTCCCCAGAATTATTATAATTATGAAAAATTAGAAGATGGGGTTTTAATAAACATTGTTTTAACTGTTTTAAAATTTGATTAAATTATATATATATATATATATATACATATGCTTGTATACTGCATGTGAATGTTATAACATTTTAATTGCTATATGTTCTGGCATATAATACGCAATTTTAATGCAAAAAATGAGACATGCTGGATATAAAAGTGACATTTAAAAATAAGGAAAAGATAAGCATACAAAAATTAGATTTCTGCATGTGCGTAATTGCTGCTCAGTTAAAAGAAATGATATACCTTATGAACTTAAAAAATTTTCATTATTGGATAACATGAAAAGTTCTTCATATTTGTATTCCATTATATCTTCAAGCACATCATTGGACTGTTGAATCATGTCAGGTTTAATTTCACTCCATGCTTTTATTATCCACTCGCACAGTATTTCTAGACTGGCATGATGCATTTGGCCTCTTTTTATAAATGTTTTTTCGTTTTCTAACATCTATGTATCTCACTGTCATTTTAAATTTTCTTTGACTAGTTGATTGATAAACACATCTAAAGGCTGAAGTAATGGCCTTAATCCGCCTGGAATAACTGCTATGTCTATATTACTTTCCTTCAATAGTTTCTTCCTATTATCTGTTAGATGAGATTTAAACCCGTCCCAAACTAAAGGCCTCATTCAATTGAAACACGGATGATCACTCCAACGGCCATCATTACATCCAGCATTAGTCATCACTCCAACAGCGATCGTTGCATCCAGCATTAGCGATCACTTTTGAAAATGAGTGATTTTTCGTATTCAGTTGAAACACTTCCCTACCAGTGGAACTCATAAGGGCTGCCAGAGGTTATTTGATGTGCGATGCTATTTATCACGTGGTTGGAAGTTGCAGTGTTTTCAAAATAACCAATGATAGAGCTCCTAGATATGCATCCCGACTCGTCAGCCATGTCGTAACCGTTCTTTAGGGTTGCAATTCAGATTTGGTGTGCCCTCTTTGGTTTCTCAGTGCTATTGTTTCAAAGTTTTATCTATGAAAAATCTTCAAAGGTTATCATTTCATTTTAATTCCTTTATGAAAATAGCTACCTGAAAAGACACATTCCATTCACATAAATCACATATATGCATACCTGCCAACTTTTACGTATTTTTCGTAATTTTTACGAAAATGTGTTTGTCTTTACGATTTTACGAATGTAATCCATTTTTTATGATTTTTTTCCTTTTTCAAGTGTTTTTAGTGATTTTTGTCGAAATTTTAGAATTTTTCGCCAATTCAGCAATTTTTGCCAATTGCATCGTGTTTTACCGCCAACTACCGACTACTTCGAATCCAGTAACCTGCGGTTTTCTCCCAACTCGCCGCTTAACCAGCCAATCCAATGCGCTGAACTTGTTTCTCCCACTCTTTTCTTTGTGGGCGCCAGATTATTTTTTTTCGCGTTCGCTTCAGCAGCAAGGGAATTACTCAGCTCGGACTCAGCAAGCGTGGATTGTCGCATTCTGTTTTTTTTTTTTTTTTTTTTTTTGTTTGCACGTGCTACGAATTTTCTTAATACGTCGTTGTTACGAAATGAGTTAAAAAAAAAACCGTATTCTCAATATTTTCGGCCTGCCTACAAAGCCGAATTCCAACATTTCCAACAATTAAAGAATCCTTCAAATCCTTCAAAGGAAATAACTATGCATTTTGCAACGTGTGCGTGTGTGACTTCATAATAAGTCACGGTGGAAGAAGCGACATTGTGAAGCATGTTAAGTCTAAAAAGCATGAAGTTAATGCTTCGGCTTCGACAACGTCAAAGAAAGTGGATGATTTTTTTTTCAAATTCGGCTACGAATTCGGATGCCGATGTCATTTTGGCAGAGTGTTTGTTTACTGCATTCCTCATCGAACACAACGTGCCGCTAAGCGCTGCCGATCACGCCGGTCAACTTTTCAGACGGATGTTTCCCGACTCCAAGATTGCTCAGAAATATGCTTGTGCTCGCACGAAAAAACATCTTCTATTGTGAACGAAATTGCTTGCGATGCACAAAGTAAAACGATAGCTGCACTCCAGAATTCAGCATTTTCGGTGTGTCAATCGATGGCAGCAACGACAGCGATTGGAAGCTTTACCCCATCGTTGTCACATATTTCTGTGATGTTTCTAATGAAATGAAAACTCATCTTTTGCGTCTTCCATTGTTAAATGGAGACGCTACGGGGGAAAATATTGCCTCCTTGGTAATTAATGAGTTGAAACAACTTAACATCCCAATATCAAACTGCATTTCATTTGGTGCAGATAATGCTCATGTCATGGTGGGTGACAAAAAGGGTGTAGCCTCTTTCCTCAAAAAAGAACAAAATGAATTAATTGTTATTGGATGCCCATGCCACTTAATTAATTTGGCAGCAGAAAAAGCTGCAGCTGCTTTACCATTAAATATTGACCAGCTTCTGATTGATGTGTTTTTCTATCTGGAAAAAAGTGTAAAAAGGAAAGAAAAACCTAAAGAATTTCCAAGAACTGTGCTCTGGTGAAACGAGAAAAATTCTGAAACATGTATGCACGAGATGGTTATCCTTAGGCAGAGCGCTAGGAAGGTTTATTGAACAGTGGGATGCATTGCTAAAATATTTCCACGAAGAGACCAAAACGAAACCACAGATCCCATCAAATTTGTCGGCATATAAGATTCCGAAAACCAACTTTGCTTCTAATCAATCAAACCCTTTAAAAAGAAAATGCTTAGAAGACTCCTCAAAGGTCAACTTTGTTAAAGAAGTTGAAGGGAAGAAGAAACAGTCTTCTATTAGCCGGGAGGAAAGGATTTTCTATCTTCTTTCTTCGGATTTGAACAAAGCATATTGTAGTTTTGTGTTAAGTACCATTAAGATTTTTGAAAGTGTAAATACCCTTCTACAATCAGCTTCGCCAAAATCTCCCCTGCTTATCCAAATTCTTAATGATCTTTTGAAAGAACTTTATACTAAGTTTGTAAAACCGTCCGTTGTGAAAAACAGTGTGTTGATTCGTGTTGCCTATAATAGTTTGGCAAATCAAAAGGATGACAATGATCTTATAATTGGAAATCAAACCAGGGAACTTGTAAATTCTTTGAAAGATCATGAGAAAAAAGAATTTTTTCAATGTGTTAGAAAGTACTTTTCCTCAGCCTGTGATTACATTGTAAGGAAGTTTCCTTTGCAAAATGAAGTTCTTTTAAATGCTGAAGTGGCAAATTTGAAACAAATTGAAAATTCATCTTTTGAAAAGATTCGTTTTTTTATTGATAAATTTCCATTTTTGTTAACAATTAAAGAAAATGAATGCCATAATGATGCTTTAGATGAACTACAGAACCAATTTTCTGCTGCACAGTTTGAAGACTTTGCCAGTTCTGGAGAAGATAGACTTGATGTCCTCGTTGGTACCTTAAAAAGAATAAAAAAAGCTGATGGAACACCAAAATATGATAGACTAGCAAGAGTTTTATGTGCTATTCTCGTAATTCCACACAGTAATGCTGAGTGCGAGAGAGTCTTCAGTGTTGTGAAGAAAAACAAAACTATGTTTCGTTCTTCAATTTCACCAAAAACTCTAGAAAACATTTTAATTGCTAAATGTTATGAGGAAACTAATTGTTATGACAGGAAATTTTCCAAAGAATTTTTGGCTAAAGCCAAAAAATGCACTCTAAATTCATTGCAATAATTTTTTTTGTGTGTAACATAAGGTTCTTGTTTTATGTTTCCTAATAAATTTTTTAGTTACTACTTAATTGAGATTTACTAATGTAAGTACAATTTTCTTTTTTCTATTTGTATAAATTGTTATTTTTTTAATATCAAAGCATGATATTAATTCTTCATGTTCTTCTGAATTTTGGAGAAATCTTCTGAATTTGGGGGAGAAATCTTCTGAATTTTTATCTTTAGAGGTTGGTAGGTATGTATATGTGAAAAATGTAGGTCAAGTAAGTTTTACATGCATAAGTGATTCAAAAAACGTTTTAAAGCAAAAGAAAAGAAAAATGTAACTATAGCTCTATTAATAACTCAAAAAATACATTGTAATATACTCTAAAAGGAAAATCGTATAATACATAATGATATAAACTAAATATATATAATGCATAAAACTCAATGATGAATAATGTTCATAAATATATAATAAATGCCAACACACCTAACATCATGGTACATAACACTGCTATGAAACGAAGGATATTTGATTAGAAATATACCTTTTATATTTATTTGATAACATAGAAGAGTAAAACACAAATATGACAAGAAGTTATAAACAAGTTATTCAACTTAAGAAACAATAAGAAGCCCTTTAAGTTTTTGCAATGTGATAAGACACTGATTATGAAGTGAATATAATTTTTTTTTACATCAGTAATAAGTTTTTCATTAAAAATTTTAGCAGTGAATGCCAAAACAGATTTATTTTTGGCACCTTTGATGCAAGGTCACACAAAAATAAACTTTATTTAGCAAATTCCTGAAAACATTAAAATCAAAAGCATTAAATTACAGTAACATATATTATTAAATTATTTTAATTACACATTAAGAAAGCAATTGTCTGATAAAT